AGTAGTAGCTTAGTGATTTGAAATTGCTATCTACTACAGGTTTCCAGAAAGAGAAAGAGGTATTTTGGAGTCCTTAATCTGAGACTGTATGTTAATAAATATCTAAGGAGAGGCTCTTTCTTTTCCTTTTCAATATGGATGAATGCTCTTTGAAAGCCAAAAGGGAATTGATGTGATCTATTGATTGCCATTTAAATGCCTTTATAAGCTAATTAGTGCAAAATGTAAAATGTTTCTGAGCAGAAACAAGCAACGACCATACAAATACAGGAAGGCTCATTTGGTTCTTAAACATACTGGGGGGACAAATGCCCTGATGCAGAGAGTCACCAAGAAGCGAGGAGTGCGAATAGTGCCTGCTGTGAAACCGTGATAAAAAACAGGCTCTCTTGTTGTAACTGTGAGAGCAATGTCACGCCAACAGCAGCCATTGCGTGCGCTCGAAACAGCAATGGTGTATCTAGCTTCCATCTACATAGCTGGGATAGCGTCTATCTGGGAGACATTGCGATGTTTAGGGAAACAGCCAACACTATAAAATAGGTCACTAGCTGGAGTCTGCCCAGGTCTGAAGTGACTGAAAGTCATTACCATCTGTTCATCTGAAATGAGGTGCTGGTTTCGTTCCAGTTCCTACCAGATAGGTATCCACACTGTAAAAGAAACCTTCAAAAGTGTTCCTGGTTGGAAAGGGGGTTGGCAGAAAGCAGCCATGGACTGAAGGCTCTAAAGGAGCTCCTTCTAGCACATGCAGGCAAGATGGTGGGTATCTGAAGCTCATTTATGTATCATCCCTCTATGATCCATTAGGAGGCAATTTTTCCTTGCTGTTGTCAGTCTGGCACCTTTCAGTGGCCAACAGCAGCTGTTAAGATCAATATCTGACTAATATCTTTGTCTGAGAAACGTTTTAGCTTTACAGCTCTAGGAAGAGATATTGTCATGGTTGGGTCAGAACCGGCCACCGGGCGAGCGACAGATGCTCACCTCTACCCCTCTTCAAAAAAAGAAAGAGGCAGGAGAGACAGAGAGGGAGACTTATGAGTTTAGAAGGAAATAAACTACTTTAATGAAATATTAATAATAAATTAAAAAGAAAATAATGAAATATATACAAACCCATATCAAGCTCCCAGAATGACAATCACGTCACCGGCTGGCACTGGGGAAGTCCCAGACTGGACTCAGTGACGGACAGGAACTGGATTCTGGATCTGGATTCAGGATCGGGATCAAAGGCAGATGAACAGACAGAGTCCTGCTCGGACATCGGCCATTGAAGGAGGGCTGACCCTTTGATCCCTCAGCTTTTATATTGAGCATGAGGCAGATGGGATGGGATACCCTGTTGGTCAGTTTGGGGTCACCTGTCCTGTCCGCTCCTGCAGGGGCAGGTAGGACCCCTCTGGGCTTTTCCGCTTCTGACCCTCCACTGGGGCAAGTAATGAAGTGAGCTGCCCCTGGGTGTTACAGCAATGAGTATAAGCAGGAGCCTCTCTGCATACCATGCCTGGGCATCAGCTAGAAACATAGGTCTGATCACTCTGAGAGCGAACAGTCTGCAGAATATGCTGCTAATTTCAGTAGTTAGAAGAGGACCAGTTAAAAAGTAAAGTTACTGAATAAAATTGGTCCTGTTTTACCTCAAACCAGAACAGATATACCCATACAAGCTTCTTTATGGGATCTTGGAGAGGCTGTTCTGCACCTCCTGGGTGAAGTCACAGCCCAGCTACAAAGCCAAGTTACTGTTCTTGGTGCCTCTACACATGTGCTGACCTCCTGCTTACAGCCAGGTAACTTCTCCCATCTCTAGGGAAGATTTAGCTACCTCTCACACGCCACAGCCTGAGTGCGTGTACATATGCACGGGCAACCAGTGTAAGTAAGGATTGCACTAACTTGCTCTTCTAGAATCATAGAATCGTCTAGGTTGGAAGGGACCTTTAAGATCACCACGTCCAACCATTAACCTAACACAGCCAAAACCACCACTAAACCATGTCCCTCAGCACCACGTCTCAATGTCTTTTAAACACCTCCAGGTATGGCAACTCCACCACTTCCCTGGGCAGCCTGCTGCAATGCTTGATAACCCTTTCAGTGAAGAAATTTTTCCTAATATCCATCCTAAACCTCCACTGCTGAAACTTGAGGCCATTTCCTCTTGTCCTATCACTTGTTACGTGGGAGAAGAGACTGACCCCCACCTCGCTACACCCTCCTTTCAGGTAGTTGTAGAGAGCGACAAGGTCTCCCCTCAGCCTCCTCTTCTCCAGGCTGAACACCCCCATCTCCCTCAGCTGCTCCTCATAAGCCTTGTGCTCCAGACCGCTCACCAGCCCTTCTCTGGATGCAGTCCAGAACCTCAATGTCTTTCTTGTCCTGAGGGGCCCAAAACTGAACACAGTATTCGAGGTGGGGCCTCACCAGTGCTGAGTACAGGAGCACAATCACTGCCCTCATCCCGCTGGCTACACTATTCCTGATATGGGCCAGGATGCTATTGGCCTCCTTGGCCACCTGGGCACACTGCTGGCTCATATTCAGCCGGCTGTCAACCAACACCCCCAGCTCCTTTTCTGCTGGGCAGCTTTCCAGCCACTCTGCCCCAAGACTGTACCATCCCCTCAGTTAGACGCTTCTTTTCTCACACGGTAGATGATCCTGGCCCACTCAGCCAACTGTTTCTTAAATTGGTTAAATGCTGGGCAATGGGTGGAGGAAGATATTCCCCTCACAGAGGAGCATCACACTGTACTCAACAGAACTCATGGCTTTTTCTGACTCAGACCGCTATCACTCCCACTGATGCTCTAGTAGTAGTAAGAAAAGGGCTTACAGGGAGAAAAGTCTCCCAAACCACAGAGCAGACATAGTCTGTGCAGCTGGCGCCCAGAAACCAACTGTCCTCTCAGAGTTATTTCAAGTTTCAGCCATCATTACCATCTTATTAAGAAGCTAATAAAGACTGTACAACAAAGTATTTATGTGAACATATGCATTTAATCTACGGCAAAGCTTTTGCCCTTCTCAAATCAACTGAAGACTCTAATTACAACAGTTTCATGGCTGCACCACTCTATTCGAATTAATTACTCTGCAAAAGTTAATACAACTGAAATTATGTTGTGTGCCTTGAGAACACTGAGGAGAGAGAAGCACCACTTAGGGCCCATTCTCCTTCCCACGTGGCCCATCGGTATCCCCCAGAGCAGGCGGTACGCCCCGCTCCACCGCTGCCGGGGCTCCGCTCTCCTCCTTCCTCATCCCACTCCTCTCCCTGCCTGATGGAGCTGGCAGCTCCTGACAGATCATCCTCATTTACAGCCCGGCTTTCTCTAGCGCCAGGAGAGCGTCACAGCTCATCTCAAGACTATTAACAGCACAACAAAGTATTCATACATTTACCAGACTTTGTATCCTTTCACACGAAACACTCGTTCCTTTGATCTCTGGGTGAGAAGGGATTTCCTTGTTATGTCAGACCATTACGGAAATGAAGAAACACCCCCATACAATACCTATTTACGTATTAATGGTAACAAGATATTCAAAAGAAGATTTTGGGTTTTTTCTCCCTAAGAACAGTATAGTGACTGTAAACAGCACTAATATTTCTAATCAAGTTGTGCTACTTCTTCTGACAGGTCCACTCAACTCATTTTTGCTGTGCAGATAATACCGCCTCAGGCCAATAATTAAACAGAATACAAATTTTTACACACTCATGCCACCCAAGGTCAGTGTTTATCTCGCAGGATTTTAATGCAAACAGAAGCTGTCGTAATGCACCAGCCACCACAGTTAATTACAAACTACCGAGTATCTATTTTTAGATAAAGACATGACACGTAAGTAAGGCAGAGTACAAAAGTTTCATAAAATACCTTTGCATTGACTTTCAGCTTTACATCAGATTTATACACGTGTGTGTGTGTCGTTGTGTACTGAAATTTTAAGCAAATTCAAGGAGCCATTAGTATTTATTCAAGGAGCCATCAGTATTTCATCAGCCTACAACAGCACGGGTTTTTTGGCTCCCTCCTCCCTCACACTTGCACCTGGCCAGTATGCGTGACAGGCAATAATTAGTCCTGCAGCACTGACCACTTTTCTATACAAAAAAATGTTGGTTTGAATGGCATCTGATTGGCACTGCTGAGAGAGGACCAAGAGCTCCCTGAAAGGGCTGAGCATTTCAGTTCGCCCCCGGAAAGGCCAGAAATAAGAGCTTTTCAGGCCGCAATCTTTTTAGATACATAAAAGTGGCTTGAGGTCACATTTAGAGTTTTTAATGACCCTTACCAAATTCTCTGCAGTTCGGCTGGTGGTTTGCCAAGTGGAGAAAGAAAAGATGATCTTAAATAAAAGTTTATACTCTCCCCTACCCTCAAATATTGCAAACGGAGCATTTCCCAAACCCAGGTGAATACACACCAGTGTTCTGGGGTACAAAAGTTTCACCCCATCTGCTTGATACAGCCACAGCCAGATGCTGGCCAGCGATGAAGACACAGCAATAACAACTGCAGCAATCAATGCACCATATAGAACCGCGCGGCAGCAGACGCCTCCCATCCCCCTTCTCATTCTGGCAAGTGAACACCAATGTCGGATGGTGTTACTGGCTGCCAGCTGGGCAAACTGAGCAAGTAGGTCAAGAGCATCACTCCTCCAAGAGTTTTCCTTGCTAAATATTGTGCTAATGACTGCATTATTGCTCATCAAACCGAGGTTCTGAAACTGGTGTTAAAAAAACCCTTCCTGTGATAACAGAGGAATAGTTTTCCATCTCGAGATGTTTCAGGTTTAGCAAAACCACCCATTTTTGATAAAAATGCCTTTTGATATTAAAATCTGCACTCAGGCCTGTCCTGATTGCACAAAGCAGCTCTCACCAGAACAGCTATTACAGTTGGGTAAAAACAAACGACCGAAAACCGTGTATTAAGTGCTTACAGTTTAGAAAAGCTCTAATGGAGATTTAACAGACTTACTCTAAAGAATTCTTTGGTTGAGCCTGAATCCAAAGTGCCATAGGCTATTTCGGTTTGCTTAGCCAGGTCCTCTGCGCTCTCTATGGGAGAAACCATCCTTTCCACCGTAAGGAAGGCAGCAAGATTAGCAGTGTAGGAAGAGATAATGATGAGAGTGAAGAACCACCAGACTCCTCCGACAATTCGCCCTGAGAGAGATCTATGGAAAAACACACATCATCAAATTTCTTTGAAGACATTCCTTGATTTTTTTTTTTCCTTCATTGAAGAGAAATTCACATGCACAACCCTTTTGTCCAGGTCCTCCAGTTGGACGGTGAGCCAGTTCCTGATAGCCTTCCTCAGGAGAGCAAACTTGGCGTGCACCTGGTCTTACCTAGTTCAACTCTCTCCAGTCTTTCAGTGAAAACAAGGACAGGCAATTAAGAAGTAATTAATCTGAGCTAACCCCATTGGAGGCTTGGAGAGGACCAAGCTCTCCTGACCTCCACACACCCTTTGCTGGAGAAGTCTTTTGCCAGGAGACTTTTGTCTTCTCTGCTGGCCCAGCCTTTCCCTGGGGCTGGATGTGCCTGCTGCCATATGCCACATCATGTCTCTTTGGGGGCTGCCCACCTTGGAGGACACAAATGTACCTTTTATTGCATTGACTCCGAAAACGTAAGATGTAGTAAATGGCAAAAAAGAATCTGAGTAAATGTGCAAAGGAATAAAACAAAAAGGATCCAGTATCCCTCTCTGATCACAACCTAGCAGGAATTGCGGACTGAATCTGCATATTGAAGTGAGGAGAGAGGCTGGTTTTTTTATGTTTTATGTTAATTAAAATTTGCATGTTGCACTGTTCCAAGTCAAGCATATTCCTGCTTTATAACCACCAGAGCAACAGAGAAGGAAGCAGACAAAAAATTAATTGTGCTGGTTTTTTGTTGTTGGTGGTGGTTTTTTTATTTTTATTTTTTTCTAAAGGATACCATAAGGACTGGGAAAAAAGCCTATTGTAAACATGTAATTACAAAATGTCCAGTGGTCAGGAGATCTAGATCCTGTCAGTAAGAGCTCTTGATGCTTCAAAGCAATTGAACATCAGGCCCAAAATATTTGTTCGGGGCTGAAGGATGCCAGTGCCACGCCACTCAGCTGGGTAGGGAATGTCCCCACCCTGTACAGTGCTCAGCCATCAAACACAGCACGTTGATCAGGAATCATTTCAGGAGCTCAGACAAAGCTATTGCATATGTTTTCCCTTAACTCTACTGATACCAGTGGAGGAAGAATCAATCCCAGATACATTAAATCCGTGGAACCTGGGTGCTGTAGTCCTCATTTTGTGTGACGCGAAGAAAGAGAAAGCAAGAAAACTCTTACCTGTTTATTTGTTTCCTTCAAGCCCCTCTGTGCCATCCCCAGACAGTGGGTACAAGTTGTCCTACCAACAGATGGAGACAGGAAAAAAGCGCAAGTCTCGTGACGTGCCCCCACCACACACAGGGGGGTTGGCTGGTGAACTGCCTAGTCTTGGCCAGAGCCTGAGACTGCCTGAGCCATTAAAAAAATCCCATTAAATTATTAAGAAAAAAAGAAAGAAAAGAATAATCCATCCAACATTAAAGAACACACCAAAGAAAAAAAAAATTGCCAACACAATAAAAACAGAGAAAGCAATCTGGAATAGGTTAGAGAAATGTGGAGAAACAAACTAGGAGGTGAAGTACTGCTCTTCTCCACTCTCCTCTGCCCAAGGAACTGAAGCAGAAGCTCCCGCTGAAGGGGCAGATGCAGACTGGTTCCTATGGATTACTGCACGCACCACGTCCCAGCGCCGTTAGCACCCTGGGGACTGCGGCATCAAGTCCGTACCAACGCGCAAGGTGGTTCAGGTGGTTGCAAAGCTTAGGGAAGCTTGAGGAGTGAAGCATCACCTTTGTCCATCAGTAACAACGATGTTTGAGATGTAAACTCTGGGAGACATCTCCACTGCTCTGGCCCGAGTGCGCTTCCTCAGGGCAGGCACACGTCCCCCGGATCACCGACAAGTGAAGGAGGCTTCCCTGCCTTTCTTGAGGGTCTCTCAAGAGGACAAAAGGCTTCCAAGTTTCAACCTGGGCTGTGCTCCACCTGTGCTCGCTAACAGAAGGCTACTGAGTAAAGGTAAGTTGCAGAAATATAAATTCAGAATAATGTAGTCAGTCAAGGAATCTCTCTACCTCACTCTACATTCTTTGTAGGTATCAGGTGAGTATCTTGGGATTTTATAGATGGCTAAAGCCCTTTCTGGCCAGCTTTCTTGGCTTTAGCTGCTTTGTAAAACTCAATGCCCTACACAACAAATGAGCCTCTTACACGGGCTGACGTCATTTTAGCCAACTACAAAGTAGTGCCTGCTGAACTCGTCGCATAAAGCTCCCTTTGGAGCCAGTGGAGAGAAGGAGGAGACAGACACCCTCAGAAAGAGATTTATCTCACTTGCTGCAGCGTGGGATAAGTCTGAAGGTGCCCATCTGTCTCATGACTTTGGAGGGAACCGAGATGCCTAACTAAAACACAGCCTATTGCTTTTAGATGGCTACGCCAGGTGAAATTCATCTCGCTTTTGTTCAGACCTTCACTACACACTTTCCATCTTCAGAGAAGACCTGGAGTTGAGTTCCTCCTCCCTGCAGCAAGGTTACAGAGCCAGATTGAGCAGAAGTCTGGCTAGCAGGTGCAGCAGACGAAACATCCACTTGAATACAGCAAGACGAGCTTTATCTGGGGTTTCCAGGTTACTGTGGCCCTCTTGCTTTACAGTAGGTCTTGAAATAGGAAGATGAAAAGAAGACTTGCCAGGGTGTTTACATAAATTCAATAGAACTCCTTGGAACAGAACAGTATGTGTTCATTGTCCCTACAGTTTCCCAGAGGAAATGTCTTACTTGCATTGGTAGCTGCCCTTTCTGTTAGCAGGACAGATGGGTTGCTGGGATGAAGATGTTTGGAAGACAAGCATTTTCCAAACCAAAGAAACCTCAAGTTTGCACTGCTGTAACAATAAAAACTCTGTGTCGAGCTGCATGCTCATACAGCATACCACACACAGCGAAAGGTAAAAATATCTTGCCCCAGAGATGTTGCAACTTGCATGAACCAAGTCAGACAGATACAGGACCAAAAATGGAGAGCAGCTGAGAGGCAGGGGAAGGTGGGCATGGCTGGATCCCTTGACGAAGGCAGCACTTCCCCGAAGGTCCTACATGCAAGAGAGGGCTCTTGCTAGACGAGGACCAGACCTGTTCTCAGCACAGTTGAGGTCACTCGAAAGAAAAGTGGATGTTGCTAGACAGTTGTTTCTCCCAGAGTCTTCTAAAGGCTAAACTATGGGCTGACACAGCTGTAATTGGTGGTAGCAGAGGATGGGGCAAAAGAAAAACAAAACAAACCACAAAGCTGACACTGAAGGAAAGAAAGACAGACAGAGAGAGGCAAAGAACAAGAACACAGATGAGCTTGGCCTGGCAGCCTCCTTGTCCAAAGGACCTCAGTTGCCCCCAGTCCATCTGCTGATACGAGGGCTCCTTATACCCACTGCAGGGGCTGGTGTAGAGGGATGCGGGAGAAAAAGGGTTAGTAGATAAACACTGGGCTGGTAATAAGAGCATACTCGTATGGTTTGCGCTCTGAACCACAGAAATGTTGGTCCATTACTCAGATAATAATTATAGAAAAATCAATCACAGCTTTTAATACCAGCACCACTTTTTTTTCTGATGAAGACATACCTGTCCAAGTGTGCGGTGTTGTAATTTAAAAACAAACAACTAATGCTTTATCCCAACATGTCGCTTTCCAAATTACCTCAGTAAATAGATACTTTACATTACATTATTTTAAAGTGAATTAGCGTGTTAACAAATGAGAGGAGTAACAAGGACCTGGAATAACAGAATTATAACTCAATTATCAAAACAAAGTCAGACGGTGTTTTCAAAAGCAAGTAAACAGGAAGAGTGCATACCTTGAGAGGAAATTTAAAAGGAAGCATGGAGTCAAATGAGAGCAAATTAGTAACAAGAAAAACAAAATAAATATTCAAATTCACACTCAGTTTCCAGGAGAATAATACATTCAAACAAGACCTCATTTATTTATCAAAATAGCTTGAATTTTGCTTCTACTCATGGCCATAAGACATATTTGATTTCCTATAGCACACAGAAGTAATAAGCTTCTCACACTACTCAGTTTTTAATTGGGCTCTTCTGATCGATACCAGACGGCTGTTGTATTGACAAACAGCCCTGACCAGCCCTGGTGCAAACTCTCCTTGTCTAGAACCCTTTCAGACTCTGAGCACGGGTTACTCGGCGCCCACCAAGCGGGGAGCGGGGCCCCTTGCTCACATGCCCAGCCAGCCCCCTGCCTCTCCTGCCGCCTCACGCCGCCGGGGCGGCCCTTGCCTCAGCTACCCAGACAGAACACAATAAATGAGAGCATCTAAAGCGCTGCCTTGAGATGCTTCCATCATAGGAACTGGCAGTGGGAGTTTCAGAAATACCTAGTTACGCAGCTCTCATTGCTATTTTGAAAGTCCCACAAAGTCATTCCCATGGCCTTTAATAGGAGTCTCTTGAGTCTTCTGCCGTGGAAATAGGGATCTAGAAATACACCCTCTTAAATGACCAACCTCATGAGATAATTTTTAATGAACCCCCTGTCTTCTTCCATCAGCAATTAATTAATCTAGCCTCTTTGTTCCACATGAATAAAGAACAAAATGAAAATACGTGCTCTCATAGAGATTTCAGATACTTTCGCTCAGAACAGTGTTACAAATTTGACTGTGTTTTCTCCTGATTCCATTTGCTGTACACATCTTACATTAAAGCAAGTTTAATAATCTACTTTTGATCCGTCAAAAGTGAATTTTCAATGCTTTAGCTCACTATGCAGAAAACACAGCAGCCTTTGATAGCAGAACAAAACTGCTGGAACAAATGCTGATTCCATCAAGGGAGGCACTAACCCCCGTCCTTTGGCTGCTATCTGATTCCATTTAGACGACTCCTATTAAATACAGAGAGGAGAGTATAGGGATATATCCTCTGGAATATCCACACAGCATACTCACCGAGGATAGATCTAACTAGTCATTAGATGTCACAGCTGTTCCACACAAAGGCAGCTGAAAGAGCCTTTATCAGCAAGTACAAAAGTGATCTCTCCAGACTGCTTGTCGGCATCTCTCTACAAGTGCTGTACGCTCTCACATAAGAAATTTATTCAGACAAAACTCACAATGGAAGAATGAAGCCCCTTTTAATGGCAATAAAATAGTATGAAACATTCATATAATCAATGTACTGTGAATGGCATAACCTTACAAAGATACGGATTAAGAATGGAATACTTGGGAATAGTCCCTTCTAGGTAAAAGAAATTTGACATTTAATCAACTTAAATCAACATATTGGTCAAAGGAACAGTGTTTCTGGAATGTAAACGAAGGTATTAAATTTCTCTTTTTTTTCAGTAACAATGCATGTAACTGCCTGGAATCCGTTATCATGAAAGATGACAAAATAACTGGACAACGTCTTCAAACGGGGGCCTTGTATCATTACTGAGCTAATAGCTTCTAATGGACAGATAAAATAAATAGGTTTACCACTGTCTCTTTTTTTGGTAGTTATTTCCAAGGCACTTAACGTGGTAGTATTGGGAAAAAAAATAGAGTATGTTCTACTTGTTATATAAGGTAAATAGCCGAGCATGTCAAAGAGTCACATGCGAGCTTAACAAAAATCCTATGCACTCCTATTTAACTGTCAATAAACAGATCTAGCGGAAACAGCGCAATGCCTGCAGCTTTCCATGTGATGTCTCAGTGCTTATTTCCCGGTCTTTTATATTGGGCACACACATGGTCAACAGCAATTTAAATGTTATCACTACTCATCACCTTTAACAGCAAGCAGAGAGGCAAAGTTTCAATACAGAATTGAGGCACAAAGCAGAAACACAGTGTGTAAACAGGAGGAGAGGGCTGACGGCTGTAACCGTACAGTGAGGCAGCACAGCCAAACACCGCTAATTGCGAAAACTAATGCACGCTCATATCCAGGCAAAAAAGGGTGCGTGGTTTACGTAGGATATATATGCGTCTGTCAATAAGTACAAAATCTAATTGCTGCTATCGAGACTTTTAAAACACAGGCAGGATTTGCATCAAGTACCAACAGACATACGCCAGTATCTCTGGAAGTCCTGGATTTCCCTGCGATCATTAGGAGATTTGAATGTGCAATGTCTGTGAACTTAAAGGATCATTATTACATGATAACAGGTAAAATCACGATCCTTTCCATGAAACTTCAAAGAAGTTTTGTCACTTGCTTCAGTGAGGCTCCTCAAGATCCCTACCGCTATATGGACCAGGAAAACCTGGTGACTTTTCAATGCTTCAGGTATTGAAAAAGGTACACAAATATGGAGATTGACAAGGTGTATTCTGAATATAAGCACTTTGTTAGGAAAGATCTGTCTCTCTTGCTTTAATTAGCAACCTTGTTAAAGGGAACAACTGCATCCTGTTTGTACTAAGGTATTAATAATTAAAATAGCTGTAAACTGGTTATTAAAATATTGTCATACAAAATATAACTAGTGCTCCATCACTAAGAAACTAGATAATTTTACTGCTTATCACAGGCACATCACCAAAGTATTTTACCAGTGTAAATGTAGAAATATTATATATATATTATTAAAAAAACATTTGTGGTATGCATTGCTCAATTAGAGAGAACTTCACCATTCTCAAGTGGTTTTCAAAATGCTTCTTTAAAAAAGAAATATAATTCTACAATAGTTAATACCAGTGCTTTCTGTTAAATTGGAATTAATATCAAACACGATTTACTACCGCCTTATTCAGAAAGACTGTCTTCATGAGTAAGAAAAATCTTTATGGAAACTGGCAATGCTTATCAGACCATATTGTCTATGAACACAGGGACAACAGATTAGACTGGACTGAAATAACAACACACATACAGGGTAACAGGCAATAACCGTTAGAGGGGCACATACGGGGAGCTGAACATATGAAAGACGGTGGTAAGCAAATTAGTCACAGATGAAAAGATGGTTCAAGAAGAACAAAACTAGAGAAATTAGACACAAAAGAAAGTACAAAGACCAGCAGAAGCCATGACAGGAGGCGAGGTGTTTTAAAGTGCTGTTGCATGTGACTTTTTAAAATAAACAATTCTTATTTATGCAAAACAGAATATGTTATATGCACCAAGGAGATGACCGTAAAATGAGATATGCAGCAAAAACACGGTAGCCCTCCAAGCATTGCTGAAAACAGAAAACCCTATGCATTTTACAGCCTTAACATGGTGTATATAAGTTTGGCAGAAATGCATAAAGGGCATTATAAGGCAATGCCAATCGCTCTGGAGGTGAATGTCAGCAAGCATGGTGGCTTGATGATGACACTTAGCATTGAATGGAATGTCAAAATAAAAAATTTGGAATTAAAAGAAATTTGAAAAAGTAACATATATGCACCATGGCATCAGAAAATGACCATAAAATGCAAAAAGGTGATGGAGTGATATGGAACAAACCTTGGAGAAATATCGCATCCTTGCTGCATAAAGGCACCCAGGGAAAACCAAAGGCTGTTAAATATTCCAAACTCATTTGGAGGGTCAGGAGGATTCTGAGGGTCACGTGGTTCTTCACTGCTGTCTTCCAAGTGCCATTCATAAGGACTGAATCTGCTGACTAGGAAAAGAACTACGCTGACGCCAATGTAAGCAAAGACTATACACATCCAGATTTCATAAGCCAAAGGATCCAGGAAAGAGAATACGCCTGGTTTAGATTTCTGAGGCTTCTTGATCATGATGGAGATGCCCAGGCTCATAAAGGGTTTGGAAAAGTCTATGACTTCTTCTCGCACCAATGTTATGGTGAGGGGGGCAACAGCTATATCTGCTCTCTGAAAAGGGAAAACAAACCCAAGTTAGTTACAAAACAGTTGCAACACAATCGCAATCTAGAGTCTCAGGCTAACGAATCAGATAAATTACAAGAGTGAGCAGGAAACATTTTCTTTGCAGCCTATTTTGTAGTCACTGAAGTTAAGGACTACATGATATTGATAGAAAATTATTAACAAGAAAAATTACAGTCAAATCTGTGCAAGGGAGGATATGTACCAACATGTATTTATGTTTCTATTAAGTTAAAACAGACAAATAAACACTACACAAACTGGACAGTGAGATGGCAACTGAAACGATGTCATTTTCTAGTAACGGTCTGTATCCATTCATCTGTCTTGAAGACTTTTGGCAAATCGCGTGTTTGTTTAATTTTAATTTTATCTTTTCCATTCTTTCAGCAAGTTCTCATGCCCTACTGATTAGTCCAGGATCTTTAAAAGGAACCTAAGAGAAGTAATCAGTCACTGAATTTCAGCTGCATTTGGGCACTACCACTCATATACTCCTTTGAAACCCCACTTCTATAAGGGATAGAAGATGTTACAATAATGGGGTGATAGGAACCAGAAAGCCCACCCTTTCTGTGGCCACTGAAGAACAATAGTACAGATCAGAGTCCCTGAGAAGTAAATAGTTGGGGTTATCAGAGAAGAACGCAAAGTAGTATTTTTCAGTATTATGTATGGCATCCTGTTTTAAAGAACTTGGCTCTACAGATCTGTAACACAGACTGTGCTCTGGGGCTGTGTCATCAGGAAGGACAATCGCATCTCATTGCATCTGTCATTCACCAGTGTGTTGGTATACCCTGAACCAATACCCTTCCCTTCAATCAATATAACTTTGCTGGATTCCATGGGAGGGTAAGAACACGAAGTAAAAAAAAATTACTTAGTAACCTGATTAAAAACAACATTCTGGAATAGATTTTCAACGTATTTAATTGCAGCTGTATTTCTATGCCAGAAAGATTCAAGTCACGCTGTTTAGATAACCTAGCCTTGATTCAGTCGAGCACTTAAGCAGGTGTCAGCATTTGCAACGGAGGGGATTAGTGTTAAAAAAATAAGCCCTTTTTGTTTAAAAATTATTGTTATGAGAGTCTACATACCTACATACACTTTTTTGGTAATCTTCTACTTTAAACACTTTAATTATTTATGTTATCGATACTTTTAAAGATGGCCTTTCGTTGGTAATTAAGAATTTCAGAAAGAAAAAATGATTCTTGGGGAAAGTTTAACTTACCAGTACCTAAAACACTGTGCACCTTTTAAATCAGATTTTTGTTTCCCCCTAGTAAGTATGTATCTGTTGCTGGTGGAAAAATAAAACCTGATTAAGTAGAAGTTTGAATAAAATCTAATAGGAAAGGTTAATATGAAGTGATTAAAATCTGTGCCATAAAATAATTGAACATGCCTTTATGCAAATCTGATGGTGACCTACGTGACTTTCATTAGTATCTGTTCCTCCTCCTAGAGAGTTTGTTTGTTTGTTTTTTAAAGTTTAATAAGCAGAAATGGTGAAGGCTCCTCATCAGGTCAGTCTCAGTCTCACAGGCTCTGTGCCCGCGGGTGCCCCGGTGGCTCCGTGCAGCCGTGCCCGAGGCACCTCCACGGGGTTTTAAGGCTGAGAGAAGCGGCCGACCTGCCGGGCCGAGGACGCACAGCGAGCCGCGTTCCTTACAGCACCCCTCTGCGCACACAAGCTCTAGAATTGCTCCTGCCCCTCAGGAATACCTCTCAACAGCCTGCACTGGCACGCGCAACTACAAGGTATGGGTACAAGTTCACTGCTTGGAATAATCAGACCAACCAGGCCTGTGCAGGTCAGGAAGCCATTGGAAACCACGTCCCTCGGTGCGCCCTCTCACAGCCCTCCTCAGCCCCTTTAGACATTCACCTGCGCGAGGACACTGCCCTTCCCCTTGCGTGACCGCGCTCCTCGAGGAGAAAACCCTCACCCGATTTGTGGTCACTTACTGCAAAAGTCTAGCTTAACGCGGCTTGAATATAAAACCCGAAAATGCCGGCTGCCTTTGGATGCCTGGGTGTTTACTGGCTCTGCAGTTGGATGTGTTAATCACCTGAGTAATGGGAGACGCGGGGGGACACAAGTTGAGTGTGGTAAAGGGACCGGACGATGCTGGGACTCATTCCCCCAAAACATATATTTGTCTTGCAGCTGCTGCTTGTTGAGCTACTGTTAAATATTAGATGTCTGCAGTCAGTCAGTACGGGATGCACACAGAGTATCAGTTTTAACTGTAGTTGGAGCCCACGGCTGGCTGGGAGACGAAGCACTTTGACCATGGCTACTGTATTTCGTGTTGAACTAATGAGGTACTTACAAATTAATCCTTATTAGAGCAAGCTGAACGGACCAGGACCCCTGCAGAGACTTAGCAATGATTCCACACGAAGTGAAGCTTAGGTGGGAGGCAGGTGCCCTACTGCCTGGCGCTTCCGCAC